TTACGTCTTTACTCTCGCAATGTGTCTCATTATTGATCTGCCTGATATTTGTTCTTATGAGATAAGATTACAAAGAAAGACAGATATTGCATTGAAAATACGGAAACCGTTTGAAAATATATGGAATATAAGGTGGACTGGGTATGGTAATCGACATATAACGTATATGGGTGGGTTATACTACCCTAGTGAATAGCAATTAAAATGAACATTTTTATGTTTCGCTTTTCGTTTTCAATAATCTGTGTGTTGCTACCATTTCATCAACACATACGAATATATCTAGTCAAAACATAATGCTATTACTTAAACATCCTCAACTTAGTAAACCTAGTTGTAACTTACCTGAGATTTCTTAATCCTTTCTTCTTGGCTAACCAATTGGAGAGAACCCATTTTTGACAGATCTGTAACCTTGAAAATATACCAAGAGAACCAACGATACCACAGCTAAATATTGGAAAATTCCTCATTGCCAATCTTTAAAAATACAGATTTAGTTGAACAATGAAATGTAGTAAAAAAGACCTGCAAATATAATATCACATACCGTGACGGTTAACCTGTAGATAATGCTGTGTAAAGAAGACTTCTATTAATATCATACTTATATTTTATTACTTATGTACGTAGGTGTGTATTTATTGGGGGTTGATGCATGAGCATACTCACACGCACTAAAAAAAAACTGTATGGATGCAAATACTCATGAAAAAACTCATCCCCACCCAATTTTGAGACAAGAATATCACCTCAATTCCACACTATTAAGAACTTGTATTATATCTATAAAGTATATATATAGGCTCATTATACTATGTTTATCTCAAGAAATGCAATCAGTTTCTCCGAATCACTTCTCGTCTCTTGATAATTTAAATCTGAAAGTGGAGTACAATACTCATGGATTTTTATGCGTGGGTATTTTTTAACATGCCACAAAACAAAAATGGGTTCAATGCATTTCACATCTACAGAGCATTAGCATCATTACTAGAATTCAAATTATTAGACAATCGTTGTTCCACATCTATGACGTTATTGAGGCATCCGTTGTCATATATTTTGTCAAGATCATTTGCATTCCAGAAACATTAGATATCCATGATTTCTAAATATTGAATTGACTTTTGGATTTTTCTTCAACTCTGCAAAGTCGTCTGGGGGGTAATACGATGAGTTTCATATCTATGACAGATTTGCGAATGCAAGAGGAACAAATTTTATCAAATGCATTTCTTATTCTTAATGAGGTTTGTTTTCCATTCCAACTCATAGTCTTTGTTTTTAATTGTCATTATATTTTTCTCAACAGGATCAATTGTAATCTTTTCGGCACTGTCAACTGCACAGTTTGTCTCAACCAAAGTAGCCTGATCATCCTAATCGGACATTGTGCTGTCGTGGTGGATTGCAGCATCAATTGCACGCAGAGAATTCTTTCTTCATTCGAACGTACTTTTGTCTTTTTGCAACAGAAGTTTTACCGTTTAATACCATTACAAAACCTACCGTAACAAATTCTTATTGAATATTTACAAAAGTTGATTACATGCGTATATCTTGTCATTTGAATCTTATAAATGAATATAAATCATCTTGTTTATTTTTCTACTTATTTACGCTTTATGGACACTCACTATTGGCGACACACAAAATCTAAAATTTCGTCTTTTTCAAGATAATCACGATTAGGCATGAGTATACACATTCGAAACCCTGGATATGTATGTACGTGCCTGTACATATGCCTGTGGTTGCAAGTAAAAATTTCAAGAGGAAGTTAAGGCATCTGTGAGAGATACGTAACCCTGATCTTAAGAGAACACATTAAGTAAAAGTTGTTAAACAGGCCATTACACTATCCACAATACTTAACATCATTATCAAACTAAAAAAGAACCGTTTTTGTATATTGCTGTATAATATTCGTCCTCATCAGATAATACGTTTTTACATCACGGTACACTGCATTATGACGTACCTATGACATAGTTTTTGGATGCGCTATCTATCCAAAACTAATCAATCAAATAGATAATGGTGTCTTATGTTTGATTCCTAAGTTATCTGTAAGGGAAACAAATATGCAAATGATACCATATTATTGTCGCGATTGCTTTATCAATCACCCTACGCACTGCTTAGCATAGCACATTCTTGGAAATTTTAACAAGATGGTGTAACGTTATTTAGATAAAGGAAACAGTAGCCTAGTCCAAGATACGTTCATTGTCCTCAGTACATAATATTATCTTGTATCTCAGACGTTATCTCTCTACTATGATTGGCAGATAGTTGGTCTCATAGTGGCAAAAGAACTATTTTCAGAGTCAGACCATAGTTCACCAAAGGACACTTCAGAAGGGCCATCACCAAAAATGGCAAGCACATCCAGCTTACTTTTGGCAATGTAGCTCAAAACAGAATAGTTTTGAGAAAGGAATTGAACATGGGAGGAAAATCCAGGTATGGATGGAAGAAACTGTGTGTGTCTCATCATATGATATAAGTAACCAGCTAGAATAGTGTCGAAACGAACCTTCAATATATCTTTGTTTTCATGGAGATGAAGTAGTGCAGTGTATGAACCGAATCATGCTGTTCATTCAAAAACTGTTTCAAATTCATTAGTTTACAGTAACCACATAAGAATAAAAAATGTTTCTATCAACAGGCCCTTCACCCATTTACGACTATCAGGATTGGAACAGACACAGTTTAGAGGATGACCTGGAAACATTTTATACACGAAGTGCTGGCAGGTTACCATTTAAAATCAACAAAGGACTCATTAAGACCATTGCAGTATAACCACTTAAAGTTTTTCTTTTCCGAGCCTAAAATTATTGAATGTTATCACTTTTCATATTTCTTTAAGTTCTATAGTAATATCAAAATACCTTTTATTATTTCTAAAGGATACTATAACTGTCTCCCGCTTAAATATATGTCGTAAATACATTCAATAGGCGAGAATGTCAATCCATACCTGGGTCGTATTTGTTCTCTTTATATACTAATTTGTAGTTCTCGCGGAATCATACCCTTCTCATTTGTTCGAGTACGTACGTCACTATTTAATTATTTTTTATTTGCTATTATAAAATAGGTGCAATATTTTCCAATGCTACTATATGGCATTAGAATTTCATTTCTAATAATTTCCAACAGTAAGCTTAACAGAAGTAGTAATTTTTATAAAAAGAGACTATATGCCAAAAACTATGAATAATATCTAACGTTATAGATATGGGTGATGAGTCTGAAGCTCATATTCCCTCTTTAAAAGAATTAAACAGTATATTCTGTTTGATAGATGTAATATGAATTCACTGATAAGGTGGTAGAACCAACAAAGCAGTATAAAATATTGTGGTAAAAATATATCTACCGTGTTTTTCAAAACTTTCTATAATAAAATTTAAGATTTTGTATCTTAGTGACAAAGAATTATTTTCTAAATCTAAAATATATTTACAATACTGATATATTGTTTCAAAAGTAATAGGAACTATTAATCCAATCACCAGCATAAACATACACCAAAGAAGTAAAAATTGGATTATATTGATACATAGAGCCACCACAATTATTTTCCTATTGCTCCAATTCTTTGTGGATTTCAATGAAGTTTTAAGCAAAAGATCTAAGAAAATGTGATTTGAAGGAAATATTCTATTGTAGATTCGATTGACATATTGATAAGATTCATGAAGTAGGTAAGTTGCAAAGAAGGCAAATGAGAAAAACCATTTGGTAGTTATGATTCTAAAGAAAACAGTTAGTGCTGATACAATTAAAAGTTTAAACCACAAGCCATGACTTTTAGTTTGCAAAGAGGACACATTAGGCTTTGCTTTGTTCATTTTTTCATCGATACTTTTTGTATCATTAGTAATAGGTAGTAGGTTTTGTGGGGTTCTGGTATATCTTAATCCTTTACAACATAAATCATAACTACTACTTATCAATTGAGAAAAGATTTGAAGCATTGAGACAAAGGTCGCATAATTTCTATCTTTAGTTATCAGGTAAAATATGGACCCAGTTATTAAAGCACCAATTATTGAAATCGTAAATATTGGAAATAATGCCTTTAAAGGAACAGCAGGCATATTAATAATATGTTTAGATATTTTGGGCTATTTGTATGTTTAGGTTACAGAAAGAAGCACAAATGGTTTTTTATTATATTCAACTATATAAAGAAACAAGTTTGCTTTCACAACTGAACTAGTTTTGAAACTATTCAACTTATAGGAAAGAGATATGCCTCGAAAAAATGCAATTTTTATCCTTCGGTTGCAAGCTTCTGCAACAGAGTGCGCAGTTTACGCTAATTTCGCGCAGTGCAAACATTTGAAAATGAAAATGCCTTCCATTTATGGTAACTTGCTTGGAAACCTTGAGTGAATATTAATTATGTACTCAGTTACTCTTCAGTTATGATAGGGGATGAGATTTGGAAAATGAATGAGAATGAAAGGACCTTATTCTAAGAACAGTAATTGCAGCAACGGTTTACTCTAGAAAATAATGAAGTATGCATATCACTGTTGTCTTTTGTAGGTCTCGATCCTCCCAACAGAGATACCTCTTCCAATATTATTAATAGAAATAACGAAACCCATATATAAGCCTCACAATCAAAACGTAGGATTTTTTTCCTTTTCACAAAATATTGATATTACTCCTCTAATGTCTGTTATTGACTGTCGCCAATTTTTATGTTTATTGCAGTGTATGATCTATCTATCTTGGGACTGCTATTTATACATTTTGGAAATTAGTGTTTGATGATATGACAGCTGGAATAGCAATAAGTAAAATTAGATATGTTGTTGCAGCTAATTTATCGGTTATGTGGTACCTTGCAACTATAGCTATGTATGCTGGTAAAAATGAAATGTTTAAATATCCTTTCATTATTCCACTACTTCTCAGTAGTTTTGCGCTATCAGAACAACTAAAGAACCTAAAGTTTCACGTATCTGGTCCAAAATTCATCCCCAATTAAAGGACGTTCTTAGGAGGAGATCTCTCAAGAAAGAACGATTATGTGAAAACAGTTACATCATCATTTATCATTTGAAATTATGAACATGTAACAGCATTCTGAATTAAACTGTATTTGTAGAGAATCTGAGTTAGAGTTTTTACTCTCAGTTGATTTTTTAATTTCTTGTTTGTTAGTTAAATGTAATTCGGACATTTTTTGATATGATAATTAATCGGTTATTTTAAATTATATAATCTTCGAATTATTTAATCATAAATATTTCTTATTTTACAATAATGGCTTTATATATACCATTAGTTTTTCTTTACAATATTTTTGGACTAAGTGTCACAGTAAGTTACCCTTAGTTTCTGACAGCTACGGTACCGTTACTATATTTAGATGTGTTTACCTGAATTAACTTGTTTAGTTGAACAAGAATAAAATAAGGTTAACAACCAAATTTCGCATCTAATCGTGATATTTGTGTTGCAAAGAAATGCCGTTTGAATTTCTCATTTTAAGTACGGTACGACATTTTGTTCTCGAATATTTACCAAGCGCTTGACTATATATAAGGAATACATTTTTACGACCAATCATATATATATAGCTCAGATTCTTATATCTGTGAAAGATTGCAAAATTCTTAAGGAATCTTAGTGGTTGGGACTAAATTTATTACAATAGTTGCTTTTGAAATATAAATTTTGTGAGATTTTGATTCACATACTTAGGTGAAAAATATCGTTAAAAAAAAAGAATCAAGTAATGGAAGGTAATTTAGCCAATATTGAGTCAAGGCTTCAGGCAGTTGTTCCAAATCTTCTAACACAGTTGGTAAAGAGAATTATTTGGCGTATTTGGACAGACATTATCATACCACTTATTATTCTTTTCTGGCTTTATAAAAAGGTCTTTGGAAACAAGAACCGTGAATGTTGTAATTGTAAAAGCAGCAGTAAATCTCAATAATGGATCGCTGTAAAACAGTCTACTAACATGAGAGATAACATTTATATCGAGATCGAATCTAGAAGTTTTATTTTAAAACTATACATAACATATAGGCTCAAAGTTAATATTAAATATTCTAAAAATATTATACGTTTGTACATAGTATTTATTACTAATTATTTTAACAACCTACTTTATTATGAACAAGTAAACTGTGCGCTTTCTTGCCCTTCATTTCCTTAGTTTGAAGATTTTCTGCTTCTGCAACGTTTCTGCCCATGTGACTGCATGAAATTCACTCTGGAGTTAGTTAGTTGCAGTTGTTTCTGTTATAGGAAGAATAGTAACTGAAAACATAATGACTTGCATATGAATTTCCTAGGCCTCATTAGGCGAAACGTTTTATTGCAATCGAGATTTTCATTTCATTAAAAGCCAAAGCATTTCTAAAACTTTAGGAAGGTTTGGGTGTGGTATGTTACTCAATTTGATTTTATTGTAAGAACAAAGCAATAGGTTACGATTTTATGCATTACGCACAAGAGTTGCAGAGTATAATTCCTACTTCAGTTTTGTTTTACCTAAGATCTTAATAAACAAAAAACATGTGACCATAATTTCAAAAGTAAAACATCAACCTTAAAAACGTTATTTTGTTGAAGATTTGTAATAGATTTCATTCGAAAAACTAAAAAAAACTATTGTTTTGATTAACCGAAAAAGAGGCAAAAAAATTTCAAGCATAAAGGATGCGGAATTTAAAGTTAGAGCCACATCAAATTGCAGACCACCACATTAGCATGATAGCTTTTGAAAAAAAAAAATGCCATGGCCTAAAAATCGCTTTCCAACCCCGTACAAACCCCCCCCCCAGATTGCAAAAAACCAAAAGGGCACTGATCAATTTAAAAAAATTCTACAATTTTTCAAAATCTCGGTTAAAAATGGTAAGACTGATGGCGATTATTGAGAGCTTTTTTTTCCAATACTCTCCCGTTCTTACAACCAAAGGACCTGTAATATATACGAGAGTAATTCGTTAAGGCTAAGTTATATAATACTATCGAGAATATTATACCTTTCTTCTCTGTGTATTCTGGCGTTCTGTAAAAAGAGAATGAATATAGCTTCAATGTACATAAATGAATGGATAACTTTTTAAAGATTTTGTAGATCCTTCTCTGGCTGCCAAAAAAATGTGGGTTTTCGGAAAAGAAATCTGACTCCCGTCAGTTTAATATTGTGTGTGAGCTTCCTAAAATCTCAGATTTTGATTAATCCTTTACCAATAATAGGCAACCACTAATTATCAAGGCTTCTACATAATACCACTCTAATTAAGCAGTTAACGATTTACAGTTTACAGTTTTTACTTCGAAGTAAGCATAACCAAAGAAGGATACTAAAGAAGAAGAAAATATTGGTTTCCAAAATTAGTTGTTTTGATGATGCTCTTCGAATGAAACTTAACCAAGAAATTGTGGTCGCTTTTTCGGGCTCATTCTAATATACACAAGAAACTCAATAGGTTTTACAATTTCAAATAGAGACTTAATTCTTGAATTAAAGCTCCCTTGTGATAAGAATACAATTCCTTTCTAATACAATTCTGTCAAGAAGAGGCACTATCTGTCAACCCTCCGATATATCCATTCGTTTCGTGAAATTTTCTTAATGTATGCCCATTTGTTAATTTTACCATAAACCTTTCACCAGGGAGATTTATTTAGATCTTTTTAACTTGAATTTTTAAAAGAAATTGTCATTGCGGAATATTGGATAAGTTGACAATATTTTTAGACAGAACATCACAAATTATTGATGTCACTTTAGGGGAGTTATACTCAACAACATATAATTATTGGAAATTATGATTATTTTGACTACTCATTGTTCATTAATTATTGTACAGTATATTTTCTACGATGTCTGCTATAGAATATCACCTTACCTTATATATTTTCAAAACATTACTAATCATCATTATACTTATAATGCAACACCTTCTTATATAGTGTTTCATAGCATTACGCATCGTGTTTCACAATTTAACATATTGAATTTAAGTATTATATTCTGTTCAACATAATTTACATAGTATTCATTATTTAGTTGTATGATGTTATGTAAATTATTTATTTTAATTTCGAAATACCATTCCAATTTAATTAGATTGGATTACTATCTTTTATGATGATGACACTCACCCATCGATGAAATGTCGAGAAACAAAATTTCTATCTTAATAGATCTCTATTTTAGAAAAGAGTTTGTATAAACACATAGCACACCCTGGTAGGCACTATAATTTGGGTTTCGGGTAAAAATATAAAAAAAATATATTTTCAAATAGAGAAGCTCATTACTATATTTGGCCATTACACTTTTTGTCAAAATTATGGCAACATCTATTAAATAGGATACTTCTGAGCTGTGCAACAACACAACAGAGAATTACCCCTACAAAAGCAATTCAAAAAAGGAAAGTGTTTATGTCTACCTGAGAATGGTATAAAGTATGTATTTATTGTATTGTTCTTAACGGTAGAGTAGTTTCACTTTTTTCTGTATAGTCAAGCTACGTCAGTTTTGCGCGCGATGTTAGTGAATTACGGTGATGCTTCTAGAATGCGTCCAATAAGACGCCTGTACGTACTTCCATCTTCGAAAATTGTCTATTTTGGGAACATCGGAAAAACTTTAAGGTGCTTCAAATCATAGCACTTTTGCTTTACCCCGTTTGCCTGAAGAATCTGTAACTGCATGTTGCCACTTTAAGTAACAATCAAGATAAACAACCATTTAACCTAGCAAGAATCTCGAAAGTGCATAATCAACTTTCCTATGGACTGCTACACCTTATTCAGACAATTTCTCTTAGAGAACAAAAACTCTGTGACTGGTCGTAAGTTCACCGCCTTCCGATTTTCCCTAAGTTAAAGTTTTTTGAAGTACGGTTCGATCTCTAATTAGAAGTATTGCACATGGAACCATCTTAGGTAACTTACTAACCTCCTCCGAAAATGCCTCGCACAAGTTACACAGAAAAAAAAGGATGCTAACACACTCTTAAAATAATTTGAAGCGATTCATTAATCGCATACTTTATGCATTTAAGCCGACCGCGACTCCAAAAGGAATGTAAGAAGGCGGCATCCT